AGATGCTCTATTGGGTTCAGGTCCGGACTCTGTGAAAGTCCTGAAGTGGCCCAGCCAGAGTTTTCCTCCACACACACCATTGGGAATTGTGGCCATATAGTTCAATTTTCATTTCATCAGACCAGAGGATTTTGGTTCTCATGGTCTGAGAGCTGGTCAGGTGCTTTTTGGCAAACTCTCAGCAGGCTGTCATGTGCCTTTTAGTGAGGAATGGCTTCCGTCTGGCTGCTCTACCTTATTGGTGGAGTGCTGCACTGATGGTTGTCCTTCTGTAAGGTTCTCCAATCTCCACAAAGGAACTCTGGATCTCATTCATAGTGACCATTGGGTTCTTGGTTACCTGTCTAACCAAGGCCCTTTGCCCGATTACTCAGTTTGGCTGGATCTAGGAAGACTCTAGGCACTCTCATGCTGCAGAAATTTTCTTGCATCCTTCCCCAGATCTGTGTCTTGACCAATCCTGTCTTGCAGGTCTATGGAAAATTCTCTCGACCTCCTGGCTTGGTTTTCACTCTGACATACACCATCAAGAGACCTTATATAGACAGGTGTGTGCCTTTGCTAATATGTACAATGAATTGAATTAGGCACAGGTGGACTCCAATCAAGTTGTAGAAGCATCTTGAGGACCATTGATAGAAGTAGGATGCACCAGTTGCAAGTGTCATAACAAAGGGTCTTTATACTTATGTAAATGGCATATTTCAGTCTTTTATTTTCAATAAATGAACAAAAAAACCCAAACACCTGTTTTTGCTTTGTCATTGTGGAGTATTGTGTGTGGTGAGAAAAAAAAAAAAAAACTTATCTGAAAAAAATCTGTTACTCATCCTTACGGCCAAATATCTCAGTCTTCACACATAATTTCATCCTTAATAGTAGACAAAGTGTGTTTCATACAAAGTGTCTACTGTATTAAAGAGACTAGCAGTATTTGAACTGGGAGCCTCAAACTGATGTGGCTCTGATGCTGTGATCATTTTGCTGATATTATGTGCCATTTTTTCTTAGATGACAGAAGTTTGAGAGGTTCGCTGACCCCTTTTCCCCCATAGATTTGTATGAGCTCTGTGTCTTCAACAGCCAGACACAGACACAGACACACATTCTCAAAACTTCAACGTCTTTGAAATTCAACTACTTGAGCATTTTTTCAGCTATAGACTTTATTCAAACTTTAAACTGTTCCTAACACTTCCAGCTATTAAGCAATTATTCAGCTTACTGATATCTTGAATTAAGGTTTCTACTGTTAGGGATGCAGTTCATCTTTCAGTTACTAATAAAAATGATTACTTCTTCACATATTTAAGGCATTTTATTCCTACTTACACCTTTGGCAGTAAATAATTTAGCTTTCAACTGTTTCAAAAACATGTTTCAGTTCTCAGCTTTTGCAGCTAATAGACTTCAGCTCCTCCAGTTTAACATTTTGGCATCTAATTTTTCAAAGCAGTGTTGATCAGTTAATATGAGCTGCTTTTTCAGCTATTTTAGCATTGTGTCAGTAATCTCCTTCAGATTGTCTTCAAATTACAAGTTTTGATTGTAAATTTCTGGGGTTTTTTTTGTTTTTTTTCTTAACCAATTTAGGCCATTTAGCTTTCTGTTTTTTACATTTTGTATATTTTGTACAGTTTTGTGATGTTTGTTACACCTTCCATCAACAACTCATGCCTTTTTCAACAATTTCAAGACATTCAACCTCCATCTTACAATTTCTGCTTTTAATCTTCAGCAATTGCTTTAGCTATTTTAGCAGTGATTCTGACTCTCATTCAGGTCATTTTGGCAGGTCCTGACAACTTCAAAGGGCTGCTTGAAGGTTAAGCTTATGCAGTTCCCAACACCACACACACACATACATTGAAAGACACACAAACTCCATTACCACCATATTGATATCACCACCATATTGATATTAACTGTATAAGTGTCTCAACCTGCTAACCACTTAAACACCTTTCTTACCCATTTTGATGCTTGGTTTGAACATCAGCAGATTGTCTTGACCATGTCTACATGCCTAAATGCATTGAGTTGCTGCCATGTGATTGGCCCATTAGATATTTGCATTAACAAGCAGTTGAACAGATGTACCTAATAAAGTGGCTGGTGTATGTAGCCTGGACATTATGATTAAAATACTTGAGTCTGATTTGCGGTATAATGATAAAGTAATGAGGAACTACTCAGTAACAATTTGTAGCCGACATTGGTGGACGCCAGTAACTGGACAGAAAACAGGGACAAAATGAGTTCCTCTAAACAATAAACTAGCTTTTAAGATATCATTGGAATTTATGGCTAGTTCATGAAACTCATCCCGAATCAACACCCCTGCAACAAATGGGAGACGAACACAACACTCCCCACAGACTGACACTGAGTCCATGTTGAAACCATGAGACTCAACTGGGACTGATAGGTGGGTGCCAACTCTTATCAAGCAACATGAGAAGGGACATTTAGCACTATTAAGATGCCAAACCATTACAATTCACACTATGGACTCATTTCTCTCTCACAAGAGAAAACACTACTATCACCTTTAACACTCTCTCATACCCAAAGGGGGGTCTCATAAGGAACTGATAACCATTGTTCTACATTTGTAAAGCATGTTAAAATGTCATTGAACTAAATGTCTCATCACCATATAATTCATTTATTATTATTCTGGCAAGATTTCTATGAATTATGGTCCAAAATTCATTTCTGTAGCCCAAAAGGAAGCTGAGATATATTTTATCAGTTCTGAGGTAAATATCCACCACGTTACAATACTGCCATGTAAGGACCACCATGGACCCCTTATCCTCTAGGGAATTAACCGATAGATGATCCAATACATTACTTTATTATTACTATTTGATGTCGTAGCTTTAGCAATGTATTTGTGTGATTAAGAATAGCTATCTTTGTGTTAGTCAATCTATTCTATGTGTACTATTAACCCACGGTAATATCATTAGTTCAGTTGTATATTCCAAACAATAAATATGTAGTTCATGTAGGCCGTTACTAAATATGAATGGGCCATGGTGGGAGACGAATACACAACACTTGCGCGTAAAACCAAATTAAATAAAACGAAAATAAGATTTTATTTCTCTCTTACTCTATTGAAACAAAGAAAAGAGAGGGAAAATCTAACTGGTGGCGATAACTGTCAAAACACCTGGATCCTCCGGCGCACGCTCTCCTACGTTTTTGTCTCTTACATTCTTGTCTCTTACTTGAGCACTAGCTCACGTTTGTTTCTTGTCTTAAACTTAGTTTTATTACTTTGGTACCAACTTCGTAAATTTTTCCATGTGTTCTTTGTTCTCATTTTTCTTGTACTTTTGAGCGTGATTTTTGTCTTTGTTACTCCAACCAAGCCAGACCTTCCAAAATTAATCACACGCACACAGGTGTGCATCAAGATATTTTGTTGTTTTGCCTTTTTGACAAATTCAATTTTTATTTACAAGATTTTGAAGGTTTTGTGTCGTTTGGCTAACGCCAATTCCTTCCAAGTTATCTGGCAAAGTAAATTAAACACGAACACTTATTCCGCCATCAACCTCTGGCCCTCCGGCTACACGCCTGACTAGGACCGGCTGACCAGATCTCAAGAGTGCCTACGGAAGAAAGTCTGCCGGCAGACTGCGCCGACGCTGACCCACCGACACATTGGCAGAGCCCGTTACCATTGGCAACGGTCGTCATCTCTGAGAGAACCCACTTGGAGCGTGGCGTCCCGGTTGCATAGCAACCTTAACTCCTGGGCTCCAGCCAAGATCTCAATAGCGCACCGCAACTCAAAGTAAGCTACTCCATCCTAATATATATCCTAATATAACATGACATGCCATTCCTCTAATAACACTGTCTAATAAAGTTATCATAGGTCCATGATAGAAGTATTCAGTGTTATGTATTACAGCATAATTTGTAGAATGGCGTCTTTTGGATCTGATATGACACTGTATTTTATTTCCAATTATACTATGATCTTGTAAAATAGTGTCTGACAGATTAGACTCTCCTATTTTATTTCTAATTACAGTATAATTTGTTGGAATAGTGTCTAAGTATTGCTTATTTTAGTTCTAATAGGTAATTACAGTACATATTAGGTGTGTCCTGTGGTGTCTAAATAGGGTATGACTATGCTTGTTTACCGTCTGATAAGAAGATAAAGAAATTAGTGTCTAATTTGATACAAGGCACAGCTAGTATTATGTTTGAGTTTAGCATTTGAACCCTGAAATGCAGAGACAGAGGCGAAAGCAATCTTTAAGGTGTTTAGAGTTAGTAGGGAAACAAGCAACCGGCAGGTGGTGGCGGCTGAGGACTGGCTGGCGTTGCAGGTGGAGTTGGCAAGCTGATCAGAAGATAAATAGTGGCTGAGCACGAGGTATTGCCAAAGCACAGGAGACTGCCGGCTGGTGAACAAGACACACAACTAAGCGACTGCTACGGGAATAATCTGGTGTGGAGTGGCGTCTTGACCAGGCTTATATAGCAAGAGTAATTACTGGATGAGAACCAGGTGCGCCTTGTTGCCGAGACCCAGCTCAACCAGCCATGCCCTCCTCCGCAAACACACTGCCAGGGAGAGAAACAGAAAGCGTGAGGGAGGAAACAGAAAATACACTATGCATAAAACCAAACACCAAATCAAAATATCACCCTGACAGCTTGTTACGTCTTATTAGTGAAGCGTAAAAAGAAAAATGTCTATTCACCTCTCAACCACTATCATGATGGAAAGTAACAATATGTATGTGCCAGTAGAGCTCATTGGTACTCATTGGATCTGACTCTTTAATTAACAAAATGAACAATAAGCATCCCTCACTGTAAGAAATTAAATGTTGTTCCATGTAAATCCTAACTGAGCATATTAAGACTTGCCTTCAAAAGTGAAACAGTCTACTGTGATATAAGCAATAAGAATTAAAAGGGATTGGTACTCGGATAGATTGATAAAAGATGGTGTTTGTGTAAACTGATACCGCTGTAAGTCTTCACTGAGTCCTGATATTTCGTCAGTCTCCTTTGCCTCCTCAGTTTTGATGTGGGTGGATGCAGCACAACCTTGCTCCAGAGTGAGTGGGAGCTCCAACAACGCAGGCAGGTGATCTGGTAGAGTGCCTGTGAGATGCAACAGCTGGCTCTGAATTAGAACCACAGATAGATTAGGTCCAGGACAACAAAGACAATAAGCTAAACAATATTTGTAATCATCACATGAAAATACATAACTGTAGCTGTCTTTTAAATGCTGCCAATGAGGTTATGGGATATTGGATAACTGATGCAACCTGACAAATGGACAAATGGAAGTTCTGACATGTGTGCAGTCTTTAGGGTGTCTCACCAGTTTCTCCAGTGTGCACAGACCCTCAAACTCCCTGAGCCTTGTATGGTCAATCTGCATCATGATGTCTTGACTGTGGTCGATGGCACCTGTCTGACTATAAAAGAGAGACCAATTAAACAATAGCCAGAAAGACTCCAAATAAAGGCCAGTAAGAGTTGTTTGATGCACATAAACATGCTAATTATATAATCAGTTCACCTGGTAGCAGTGTAAGAATATCCAACAAAAGCCAAGTGTACCCCTACTGGTGCTATGTCCATTACATCAGATAGGGTCTCCTGCAGGACACAACAGGTACCAATTTTCATACCAGCAACCACCAGCTGATGTTATCTTGTTAGAAGTTCCATGCATTTTATTTAGAGCCTCACTATTAGCGACTATTTTCACGACTGGCAGCTCTTTTAAATTATGTGATTAAAGACAACAAAAAATGCAGAATTTGTATCAATACATGTACATGTTTCACGTGACACTTTGTATCTACTGACAGCCACATAATATAATTTGGGGTTTCTTGCATTCCACCCCAGAAATGTCTGTACCATTAAGTGTGTATGGTACATATGGAATTTTTTTCCATAAATAACCTTGGCTCCAGAGTAAGTGCATGACATGGAGAGTAACATTCTTTAAAGACAATACCATTTCACTAAGACAGTCATCCAGAATGTCAAAGTTGGAGGTGTCAGTTGGATTGGATACTTCAGGTAGGAAGGGGGCAGAGAGTTTATGCAGGGAACCCCAGTCCAGTCCACAGAAGAACAGGTGGCTCCTGAAGTCACTCATGCCTTTCCTCCCCAGACGGGTTTCCTTCTCACAGATGAGTCCAGTGATGAAGGATCGGGCCTTTCCTGAAATCTCAGGGCCAGGAGGTAACTTGAAATGCTCCTGGGGATTAAAAAAATTTGATGTAACAAAATGAATGGTACAATGCCAGGTGTTTACACTACTACTTCTGATAGAACTGAGTGTTCATACTGCTAAAAGTACTACAACACAGCTAACCTGAAAACTGTACAGGGATTGGTGATTTAGGACATTTTAGAAATTGATTTTTCAATTTGTAGGATGCAACTTGAACTTCAATATAGGTAGATAGATGGATAAATTTAATCAGATGTTTGCAGATATTTCAGTGTGTTTATGTACCGGAAAGTTGATGATCTTAGCGTATGTTTCAGAGATGGACTCTGCGTAGAAAGGTGTGGTCCCCAGCAGCATTTCATAGGCACAGACACCCAAAGCCCACCAGTCACATTCAGGACCATAACCTCCACCTCCCTCTACTGCTCTTAAAATCTCTGGAGACAAATAATCAGGGGTCCCAACTGCAAGCGATGAGTGAACCTGCAATGAAATCAATAGGCTGATTGATTTTCAAAAACAAAAATCCCTTATCTAAATGACACATTCTGGTTCTGCTTGACTTTGTGGTGTTAGACATGCCCTCCAGTGGTCTGCCTCATATTATTCTCACAGAAAATTTGTTGTGTGATGGCTTTAACTCCTCTCAAGCATTATCTGGAATGGGTTGCTGCAGGGCTCCATTCTAGGGCCAACTTTATTTTCTCTTTATTTACTCCTATTGAACCAAATTTTTAAACAGCACAATATTTTGTTTCATTGCTATGCAGATGATACTCATTTGTATTTGTCCTGCATAGCATCTGAATCAGATATCTTGGTATCTTCCCTGTGTAATTGCCTAGCTGCAGTAAATCTTCTTCATCTTAACTCCTCCAAAACAGAAATCCTTGATATGAACCTGAGTTCATTCTCATCCTGCATTGTATGGCACAGCACTACCTGGCTTAACCTCCAAATCATTACTTCTAGCCTGTAGCTTGAGATCCTTGGACAAAGCCTTGTTATTCCATGGTCAAAGCTGAATCGTCTCTTACAACTTACTTCAAGTGTATGGCTTCATATGTAACTTATTTTATTTGTTATTATTATTTTCAACATTGATTCAATGATGTGCCTGACATTTAGCAGTTTTTTTCTCTTCAAAGAGTGTCGAGTGTCAACTCTCACCATCCCATCCTCTAGGATCCTCAGACAGGAACCAAAGTCCCCCAGTCTGATGTGTCCGTCAGCTGTCAGTAGGATGTTGTCCGGTTTGATGTCTCTTTGTAAGGAACAGGGTAGAGGGGTCATGTTATTAAAGGTTAGAGAGTTTATACAAGTGTTGTGTGAGATAAGTTGGACTTATTACTCAGAAAAGTGACTTTTTACCCATGTGAAAAGTAATGTTACAGTGTTAACACAGTGTTTTAGTTGCTAACACATTAAAATGAGACATAAAGCTAAATTATTGAAACTGACACACATAGAGCAAAACCTCAACTCACATCTCCAAAACTGTAAATACATTTTCACCTTTGCACCCAAATTGCAATTCAGCATGAAACTTTTTGCAATACACTACACACAATTCTCTATGTAAAACACAGGAACCTGACATAAAGTCATTAGTTTGCAATTTCAAAACACTGCTATTCAAAATGCCACACCCATAGACTCGTTGGCCAATACACATGCCACCTGGCCAAACTGCTTAATTGTTGACTCATCAATCAGGATACTAGCACTATGAAAAGATACATTTTTACAACAACAATGGAAACAGCTGTGAGAGAAAGAAGTCAAGGGAGGGTGAGAGTGAGAGGTGGAGGAAGAGTGAGAGGTAGGGGTAAAGCTGAAGGGGGAGGATGACGACAAAAAAGGGCACAGTTTTCAGAGGAAATCTGGGTCAGTTGACCATGTTATCAACCATGGGTTGACATTGAGAGAGGCTGGACAGAGGGTCCAGCCCAACATGAGCGGATTTACTATTGTCTCTTTCATCCAGACATTTAGGCTTGAGCATGGGTACATAATCAGAATACAATTCACTATCAATAATTCAGGATTCTGCATTATAATATAATTTCTATCTCTAACTGCACATGCACGTAAACACACCCACATGCAAACACACACACACACACACACACACACACACACACACACACTATCTCTATATACACACATACACACACCACACTGTGACATCCATACCAACACACCCACTCCATTTTAATCCCATTGGTCTGCAGAGCGCCATGATAGAGCAGCAATACTCCCAGTGGACACCAGGAAAATTGCTCCATAGGCCAAACATGGCTTCATTTGGTGGAAAATAGTAAAAATCTACAGCCAGGACTCCAGAATGAAAGCCTGATAAAATAGAATGTGTGATTTTATGCTGTAATGGCAGAGTTTCAGAGGGGACATTTTTGTCATGAAGGTGTGGGGTGGAACTGTTTTGTGTACACAGTCACACATGTTATAGTAGCTGAGGTTGAAATTCCAAAATTCACACAAAAAGTACACACTCTTGGCAAAATGTTTTCCATCTGCATTAATACAACCAAAATGATCAAAAAATCACAAATGAAAATGAGAAAAATGTCACTAAGAATGCTGGAGGGTTAAAGAGGAGAACAGTCTACCTGTGTACATAACCCAGACTGTGGACAGAGTCAATGGCCATGACCATCTCAGCCAGGTAGAACTGAGCCATGTCCTCAGGGATCCGGTCTCCAAATTTACCAAGCAGAGTAAGCAGGTCCCCTCCTACATAGTAATCCATTGCCAGGTACTGAGAAAGGGTGGATGAGTGAGGAAAATGACAGTGGTATTAAACTATAGTATTAGAGTATATATAGTAGTAGAATATTTGTACAACACATTTACTTGACATTCTGATTGGATGTATTCATCCATACCAAATAGTTGTCGTCCTGAAAGGCGTAGTGCAATTCTGTAATCCAGAGTCTGTCACCCCTTACTAAAACCTCCCGCTCCTCCTGGTAACATGCTGTCTAAACAAGACAAAAACACAAAGACAAATGGATAAAAACTGCAAGTAGAAAGACACCCAGCTTAAAATCAAAGAGAATGTGCCCATCTCTGACTTCCCTTCCTTTTTCCTTCCCTCTCAGTCCAGTCCGTAAGAGAAATGTCTTGTGTTTGTCCTGTGAATTTGAGCACAGATTTGTTTGTGCATACCTCTCCTCGCCTCAGCATGTCCCACTTATTCATAATCTTTAGAGCGTACACTTGTTGTGTGCTTCGCATCCTCGCCACAGCAACCTGCAACAGTGATAAGACAGAATAACCACAAATACTGCATGACGTGCACATGCACAAAATGGATGCCTTCCTTACTTAAGACAGCAGATCCATTCATAGCTCAAAGTCAATGATAGTAGTCATCATTAATGGTAAATATGTAAAAACAGTTAAATAAATTATTCAAATTCTTCTGGAAACAATTCTGATCAGTACTTAGTTGGATCATGCTGATTCTAAATATTTGAAAAGGTTTAATTCTTGCCCCAGATCTGCTCACCTCACTGAATGTGCCTCTGCCAATCACCTTCAGGATGTGAAAGTCTTCTCTTTTGATGCGAGTCTTCTTCACCTGCCTCACCAGGGGCTCAGCTGTGAATGAAGGAAAGAAGAGAGTTTGTGAAAATAATATGTGTGTTATAATGTAGCCTTACTCTACAGATCAGAGAGGAAATGGGAATGGAGATTTGATAGTATTAATATCAGGACCAAGAAAATGAGAAATGCTAATGCAGCAATGTTTTATTGATTTATTGATAGGGGGGGGGGGGGTTTAACCTCATAAGCAACTGAATAGCCAAGTGTGAAAACCATTACTGAAATCTTAAAGTGAAAATTAACACAAAATCTATAGTAATGAAAATATTCAGCTCTGAATTCTGTTTGAATTTATGAGATCTTTCATCTTTCAGATTTCCTCTTGTTAATTTATGGAAAATTGTAAATAAATACAAAATGCCTCATTGCTTTTCCTTTTTCACATGTGGTCATTTTGTTTTGGCCTCCTTTAAACTGTGAACATGTTCACAGTTGGCTGCTCTCTGTGTCCTCCCAGCTGAACAGAAGACTCTGTTGCCATAAAGGGAGTTCCTTTTCAGTACAGCAACTGTCTGAATTGTCACTCTTTGCAGCAAAAAATAGATGCTATCATTTATGAATCAAGGCAAGTTTTCCAGTCCTTCATTTTTCTCTTTATTCCCCTCCTCCTCATACACTGAGAGTAATTTAAGTGAGGCAGAGGCACAGTGTAAACTGTTTGATGAGAAAAGAGAACAACTTCATTATCACACAGTTACTGTAGCTCCAGAATCAGCAACTTTGAAAAGGATCCTTTATCCACTGCCCTGGGTTAGTAGACTGGCCCAGCCATGTGACCTCTGCTGCTGTACTGCCTTGTGATTTTGTGATGCTGCATTTTACATAAAAAGAGATTGATCAACAGCATTCATTTTTATGTCATACAGATCACTGACCTTTGTACAGTTAGTACAGTACAATACAGTTCTGACAGGTCAGTGAGGTCCCTGGGGGAGGGTCGTCCCAAGTTGTGAACAGTGAGGAACTGTGGGGAAGTGAGTTCTAATGTCTGTAGAACAAAGAACTGAGGGCTTGATCAACTTAAAATGTACTGAGGTCCAACACATGACATCCAGAATGTCTTTATTATTACTATTAGAGTCAAAGAACTGCTGTGTAATTCACATTTATATACTATCAGCCCTAGGAAATGTTTATTATGTTGTTTACTTAGTTCACCACTTGTATTGTGATTAATTTCAGGTTTTGAAGGATGTAGTTTGAAATCCACATTTGTATTATTCATGTCTGTCAGTTTTAGTGCCTTTAGGTTTTTATGTTGTTATGTGCCATTTAATCTTTTACGGTCATGGTGGAAGACGGATGCGAGTTTTATATGTAAACTCTAGATTAAAAAATTCAGAGGTTCCATGGAAAATGACTCTCTTCTCTAAAGTTGGAACAAAGGAGAAAACAAGAGACTCCCTTGAAACGTGAAATGTGCCTCCTGGGGCTAAAACAGTTGTGATCATTTCACACACTGCTCTTAGTCATTGGCTCTTAGTCATTGCCTTTTGCCATTTTTCACTTAATCATTTTGTCCGTACCCTTTGTTCTTTCTTTGCCATGTACCCCAAGTAACATTCTCTTTGTCTACACACACAACCTTTTATTTTTATAAGCCAAGTCAAAATCAACTGAACCAAACCAGCAGAAGTGCCTCAGAGTAAAAGTTTTCTTTTCGAAGATTTTTGGCAGTTTTAGAGTCATCTGGCCAACGCCAATCTCCTCTAAAGTTTTGTAGTAAAAGTTAAGTGCATTCAAATTTTATTTCACATCAACCCACAAGAGACACAGGCAGATAACACGACCTGCCCATGACAGCCTGCAGAGACGCCTACTAGAAAGAGTGCCTGAGACAGAATGTCTACTGGCAAACTCCACCAAGGCTGAACCGCTGAGACACATCCGTGATAATGTAACACAGCCTCCAGGAAAAGTCACCTAGATCCCGCGTCTTCAGGGTTACCATGGCAACCTCAGCCACCTGGGTTCCAGCTACAACACAACTCACAGTAGGCCGGTCTTAACATTCTGCTCGTGATGGGGTTGATGTCGAAACAATATTTAATCATCAAATCTCAATTGTAGACGTAGTAATCGTTAGCTGTAAAGCCAGTGTATAGCCATAACATATTCTCTCCCACCATTGCCAACTCATCACACATTTCATTATTATTTTCATCTTGATGATTATTAGGCATTGCATTTACTCTGTAGATAGTAATATAATAAATAAATTTCTTTATTTACACTCAGTTGTTGTTCTATTGTGTTCTTTTGGAGCAGAGACTGGATCCATTGAATCGAGAAGTCACAGCTTTTGATATGAGACACATTACAGTTTTTTTTACAATTGGTTAGGTATGATTTTGAAAACAGAGCTAATTTTACTTACACTTAATGTGATTCACAAAACCAAACACCCACAGTGCAAAACACCTCATATATCTTGCAAAATGAAGTACTGCATTCAAAAATACATAAACTCTTATCAAAATCAAACTTTTCAAACACTTCATTCATATTGCCGCATTATTGTTCAACCAACTACACACTGCTCAATCCAAAGCACTTTCATCTTTGGTGGCCTTGCCATTGTTCTGAATGAAGAGAATGCTGAGAATTACAAATACTGTTACAGTTTTTTCTCAATCGCTTTGATGCAATTCACTCATTAGAAACATTCTCACAACTCTTAATGCAGTTCTCAAAACAGTTAATGCACTTCTCATAACACTAAATCACCTGTGCAAAAGCCTCTAAAACAATAAAAATCTTGTTCACATGTGTCGAAACATGCAAAGTCAGTCTATTAACATAAGTGTTTATGTACCATGTTTAAAAAATGGGCTTGAAAAATCACACTTAAATGCATAGATCAGTGTGTCAATTCTTAAGTAAGTTCACTGAGAATCATTTAATGTATATCACACAAGAGGGAGTGATACTGTACTAAACATCAGGACGGCTGTGATTTGGTGGGAGGCTGCAGGCTGAATACCAAAGACAATACAACAGTTCTGTGAGCACCACGTTAGTTAAATAAGCAACAACAAATTATAATTTGTTTGTCTATTTCATCATTTAATTTGGCTAGCCTACACAAATAGTTGCGCAACTTGACTCGTACCGGACTGCTGCTAAACAACACATGAACATTTTCCTGACCTGCACAGTGCACACTAGCTCTCTACTTTGTGTACACGTTACCTCAGGTGTACGTTGAAGTATCCAAACTTCTTCCCTTCATCCTCTTCTGACGACCATACACAATGAATTCAAATGTTATTTCTGGAAATATATTCATCTTTGTGGTGCACAGTTTGTTACAATCTAAGACTGATAACGACTGTTAATGTCATGCTAATTAACAGTTAATAGAACACTTGTAAAGCTGGGTGATACATATAGTCAAAAGTAAAAGTCCCAGTGCTGCTATACTCTATATCAGTACTCATGGAATGCTTCTCGTCCAATCAAACTACTTGGTTGAAACTAACTGTTGTATAAAAAACATTAAGCTCCACTGACCATTTATAGGCAAAATAAAACTTTGAGAAACTGTTTGAGTAACAGTTTGAAAAAAACATCAGTCAACACTAACAGTTGCGATATTTAATCATGACAATCTTGTTAACAAATCTAGGCTCTGTTTCAGTGAAGGCAACTGAAATACATAAAGTATCTATTGTAAGATTTGCTTTCATGCTGGCTGGTAAAAAACCTGACAGTTTTAACTGATTTATGCAATAAGCAACTTCATGTTGTAATTACAGTGATTTTAGAGTTGTGCCCTGCCCCTCTGCTAAAGCTAAGAGCCCTTCTATTTGAAACAAATGTTTCCATGTGCCCCAGTTGTAAGACCAGGTGCAGGTCAAACCAACACTCAGGTAAAAATCTAATACACATAGCAGTTAGGTTCTTGTCATTACTTCTCCTTACTCATCAGCCAGACTCAGGATAGTTCCCTTGGACAAGCAAAAATTTTGTTATTGTCCTCAGTGCTGCTAGTGCCATTGGTCAGCCACTGGTCTGATTGTTACCATAGAAACATGGCTCTTAGTTCTGACTTAGGCCGGATGTAGAGTGGCTAACCTTTTAAGATCAAAATAAGTCAGTCTTCAGGTGTGTCCCAATTTAGGTGCCACATCCTTTGGAGGTAACATTTGAGGCTGTCCAATTACGAAGGCTGCATCAAATGTGTCCTTCTTTTCCTGTGTAATGAAGGCTCTCCTAATCCTTTGAGGCCTAACCTATCCCAGGATTCATTTCACACTGGTAATGAAAATTATATGGCAGCAAACAATGTCAACAGAGAGCCCAAGAATTATGCTTTTAAATGTATGTATTGGGTTTCTGCTCAGTTCATCATTTAACGGTAACAACTGCTAAAAAACCATGAGCCTTAAAACCTCAAGGTATTGTAAAATAATGTATGTGTTGCCAAGTTTGCTAGGCAACAGAAGCAATGCTTTGAGACGCAACAGTAAGGATGAGCACAGCTGGTGAAGGGCCACACCTTTGTAGACCGCATCCCCCGAAAAATGCAGACCCTGAATTGGGACAGTTTTTGTTTGTGTGAAATTGTCTAACCTGCATTAGACTAATCTAAAAGCAAAATTGAGACTGGCCTAAGACTACAGAGCAGGCTAAAATATCTTTGTGAAACTAGCCCGAGTTCTTGAACAGCTACACAAAGTGGTTTCTAAGTCACACATATTGGCATTAGTGGACCCATGGTAGAGTGAAATAATGATTGAACTCATGTTTTTCTGCCCAGGTATGCAGCTCTTGAGCAACACAAACAAACTGGTTGTTTTGTCATACAGTGTTATGTGTGGTGAACTTTGGGTGATTGTTCTTCAGAGGCCAAACAAAGTTGTTGACAGGCAACATGTAATGAAAGTAGCACGATGAGTAAGCTAGGTCAGCAGGTTAGCACGACAACATACAGAGAGGAAGAGAGAGAGAGAGAGAGAGAGAGAGAGAGAGAGAGAGAGAGAGATAAGAGTAAAACACTCACCCCACTGCAGGAAACCAGAGATATATTTTTCTCTTGCAAAGGATGAGGAGTAGAACTCCTGATAGACACCCACAAGTAGGTCCAAAAGGGTCTGGAGTCCAACAGGTCCTGTGGTCTGGGGACCCTCTGCTAGGTCAGGTGCACCAAGGCCAGGGCCGGTTGACATGACGCCCAATGGGTGAAGTGTGTGTCTGGTTTAGAGTTGCAGTGAAATCCTGGTGTCCATGGGGTGTTGGATTCAGTGAGACAAGCTGGATCTTCTTTTTCCTCTTGGCTTAGAGTACTCTGGTTGGTCTCTTGAGATTTACAGTAACAGCCCACCCTCACTTTCTTTTGTTGGCAGCACCCCTCACCGACATGCACAGTCACTTTTTGGATATCTTTCTGGATCATAACCTAATCCCACCCCCTGTCACTCCTGACCTTCCCTTTCTTTATACCTTATCTGCTTAACCACTGTACAGAAGTGTGTGTTTTCTATACAAACTTCTTCTTTGAACAGGTCAGTTCCCTCTTCTTTCCCACGCTTCTAGTTTACTCTAACTTTTTGTTCTCTCTACTTTTTGTCTTTATAAGTGTGTTCCATCCTCTCCGTCTGTCTCTCCCCTTGTTCTTCTCTCTCTGTGGCTCACCATCGCTGTGCAGCATCTGTCAAGCCTGCAGTTTCTCCAGCTCTGACTCAAGACCTTTTTTGGTGTTTAAGTCTCTCAGTCTGTCTCTCTCCACTCCCTCTATTCAACGTAGTACAAACGTTCAACTACCATAGTGAGACCTGATAGAAAAGCATGTACACACTTTCAAATAATTTCTCTTTTCCTTTTCCATCTACCACTAATTCTTTTTTATTACATGTCCTAGTTTGCTTTTCTTCAGTTTTTCCCTGTGACAAAGTTAACAGGAACCACTGACCAGAATCAGTACTAGCTGTTGCTGTTATGCTTAGTCATGTTTTGAAGAGTGCAAATTTCTTATTTTGTCAACCATCCAAAGAATGTATTTAGATTCCTTGCTTGTTTTTGTATCCCCACTTCATCACCTCTCAGTCCTCTGCATGTCTGCATGTTTTCCTCGTCTGTCTCCCTAACTCACTCTTTTTCCGGGATGCAGCAGAGATTGTTTCCTCACGACCAGCTGGCTGGTTTTGAAAATCCAAACTCTTTGTCTGTCTGTTCATCTGCTCACTCTCTGTCCCTTGTTCCTCCTCTGCTGCAGTGTATGTACTCTCTTCCCCTCATTCTCTTTCTCTTCTTCAACTTCTGTTTTGACTTTTCCAGTGAAATGCCTCGTTCCTCTTCTCTCTTTATAAATACAGCAGTGCTGCAACACAGAATCGCCTTAAACTTTTAATCTCTCCTTTCATAGCTGTTTAAACTGCACTTCCTGTGTCAAACTAAAGTGACACACTTCCACATGAGTGTGATTATGTTTTTTCTCTAACTAATCTATAAGTGGAGTGTAGACAATACATGAAGCATGAGTGTATATGTTTTGTGTTTTAACACATAGAGCGATAAAGCTATTTGTTATGAACAAAGGAAACAACTGAGAAGAAAACAAGACTAGGTAAAAATCTATGGTCAAATGCTGATTTTAGAACCACAATGTCTGACAAAATCAACAAACACATGAATTAAAGACAAAGTCTGTGCTGTGTTTTCAGCTTTATTTAGTTGTAAAATGATCACTTAGAGCAAAAGTAAGAAGAGATAGAATATCTTCCTTATCCTATCTTTCACACAGCGAACAGTGTCTGTCTGGAATCCACAATAGTTTAGCCTTTATTTACCTCAACTCCAGAACAGACTTGTATTAGAGGGCATCTTGTATTAGAGGCAGGTCTTTATTTTTAACTCCCTCTAATATGTATAATTGGTCTTAGCAGTATTTTAATAGCCTCGTTTTTTGCTTCCCTGCAGTTCCTGAGCAGCCGGGAAACCAGAGGGGCTTGGTAGACTGCCCATAACAAGAGCTTTAACCCAAAGCCCCCAGTTGGCACCCCTCTTGTTTGTGCCAGAAACTCCAACTCAGTGACATGGCATTCGGCTGACCAATGGTAGAAATATGATCAGTCAGGCAGTCAGTCAGACAGTCAGGGACATTCCAGATTATAGGGCCAGCAATTTATACAAATGCTCTCACAGTCATTTATTTTGAATGCCTTATCTCCGTAACGCCTTGAGGAAATTTCTTCAGATTTGTTAAAAACGTTCACCTGGACTCAAGGACAAGCTAATTAGATTTTGGTGGCTAAAGGTCAACGGTCAAGGTCACGGTGACCTCACAAATCAGGGACATTCCAGATTATAGGGCCAGCAATTTATACAAATGCTCTCACAGTCACTTATTGTGAACGCAATATCTCCAGAACTCCCTCAAGGGAATCCCTTCAAATTTTCACAAATGTTCACTCGGACTCAAGGATGAACTGATTAGGTTTAGTCTGACTTAGTAGTCAAAGGTCAAAGGTCAAATTCAGTTGTACCTCACAAAAACCTTTTTAGCCAATACTCAAGACTTCACACAGCAATTATGACAAAATTTCACACGAATGGTAAATGTTTTATATGACTCTGGATAAACAGGGATGTAATCTGAAACTAGTCTGAGTGGTGGGGGCATACAACCAAGAGGCGGTAGTTTTCTCTGGTTTGAGATCATTCAAGCCTGAAATCCATTAGGCCAGGGCATAATAACCCTATTAATAGGGTTATTAATATTACCAATAACCTACTTTTTTATGTTTCAAAACATAAGAAAGATAGTTACCTTAGTTATATCCTGGAATTAAAGGAGGCTGTGAACAGAGTGGAAAAAAGACAAGTTTTCAACTGAAGGAGCTGTAACGCTGGTTGAACACAACTGCCAGGGAGAAGACTTTCAAAGGAAGGAAATGGATCCACTTATTAAAAACAATAGACCCTACTGGCTTAAATGAAAAATATTAGTTGAACCATTTCCATTTTTTAATCTATATTTTAGTAAAAAACGTTTTTACTAACCTCCTGGACTGTTTATGATCTCTCCCTCACAAGTTCTTTTATGAGGAATTCTCCATGGAGCGCGGCGGACCTTGTTTTTATCCCTCTTAATTGCTTCCCATTCTATTTTATAAATTTTATATACCCCTCTCCTGTGACACCTCTTTTATATATAACACTGTTTGATGTTTTTTACTAACCTTTAATTTTACCTTGTAAATATTTTTATTTATGTGTGAATTTATTCAATTATTATTTATCAATTTCGATGTTTTATAGTTTTAACGAACGGCTGGTACCATTCAAATCCTAATTTATTGCATGCCCCAACTTTTAAGCACTTTTTATCCACATGGAGAGGAATAATGGAATTTTAATAGAGTGAAAGAAACCAGAAGCATATATGGGAGCTGCCTGCATTTTTTAACTTCCTTTAAAAATATAGATCCCTCAAAAGTTAAAAAGTATTTTAAACAAACCCAAAAAAAACACATACAAATTAGGGAATTTATGTTTTATGACAATTTTTTCAATTTAAACTCTTAACCTATAACTTAATAATATATTTATCTATTAATATCTTTTAAACCCCTTTTTTTTAAATATTTAAATTATCTTTGTTTGTCACATACAGATACCTATAACATGTAAAATATATATATATACACTTATTTTTACTAACCGTGTTTTTGTGATTTTAAGCACTTCTCTTAAGCACTTCTATTATTTGATCTGGTTTGAAATATTTTTATATACACTTTATATAATTGCATGTTTTCTTTGTATATTTTAACTATTACTAACCTTCCTTTGCTTTATTTTATCGAAGTGTTTATATATTTTAATAACAGTATTATAACGGCTTATTTCTTTTACAGACCTTATTGAATTTGCTTTTTAATTGGAGAAATTGTCATTTTAACATATTTTATCCAACAGTGGGGAGAGCCCATGACAGGCAGGAGAATTTTATAATAATCGAAACTCCCGCTGCCTCCCTGTGTTGTAGGTCCTTTCTCTGTCTTTTTATTCTTTTATTCTTTTATTAGGTTTTCCTTATTATTATATTTATATTTTTATCATTAATTTTGCTTACATATATGTTTTGATTTTTATTCTTTTATTTNCGAAGTGTTTATATATTTTAATAACAGTATTATAACGGCTTATTTCTTTTACAGACCTTATTGAATTTGCTTTTTAATTGGAGAAATTGTCATTTTAACATATTTTATCCAACAGTGGGGAGAGCCCATGACAGGCAGGAGAATTTTATAATAATCGAAACTCCCGCTGCCTCCCTGTGTTGTAGGTCCTTTCTCTGTCTTTTTATTCTTTTATTCTTTTATTAGGTTTTCCTTATTATTATATTTATATTTTTATCATTAATTTTGCTTACATATATGTTTTGATTTTTATTCTTTTATTTTTTTTATTTTTTTTTTATTATTATTTATTTATTTTTTTAGGGATATTTTTAACCATCTATGAATGGTTTTAATAAAGAAAATCCCAAAGTGTTTTTTAACATCCATGGTAACCTTACACCAGAGCCCCCCATAACACTCTTCAGAGTGTTATGTTTTAACCCCAACCTAACCTAACCTAACCCTAACCCTAACCCTGATCCTGCTGCCCACAAGGCCATAAACAAGTGTCTAGTAGTGAAGTTTGCTAGTGAGGTGAACAACAGTTCAGACAGTCTTCAGAGGCTAGTCATATCCAGAACAATACTGTCCCCTTGATCTTTGTTCTAAAGTAAACACAGATTATTTTAGAATTAGAAGAAACAATGTAATTTGCCTGTTTGTTGGTAATAAGGTCATTTTGAAATAAAATCACATCAAATTGCTGAAGTTATGATTTAGATTTAGATTTAGATTTATTTTCAAGTATATTGTATATAGTTTTATTTTATGAAGTGGATGTGCAGGTGAGGTAAGGAACTGTCTAGGGCTTATGTTAAAACCTAAACTCAATGTAAAATTAAATCATAAATACTGAGAGAGAAAAAAATCATAATATATAAAATTAGAAAACAATTAAATAGAAACAGCAAAGACAGCACAATATATGCAATGGAAAGAATACTCAAATGGATCAATAAACCAGAAATACAGAAAAAAAACAGTTAGTCCACTCTGATTCCCATTTGTGTACTAATTGAAGCCTCTTTTAATTTTCTTTTAAAAACAGGTAGTAAGGATGAATGTGCAGTTGTACACCTCTATATTTAATTGAATACCCCATTTAGGTGTGATAATGAAGGAGATGCAGAGGGTTTGATTGTCTCCTTGGGTAAGAATGTATGTATTACAGAAATATTGTTGGAAGTTTGGTAAATTTCTGTCCTTGAATCTCGCCTTGTAAATAAAAATATGTTTGTAGGATATTTATATCAAACATGGTCAATATTTTAAGTTCATAAAATCAAGAAGCAGATGGCTCCCTTGGACTTGCAGCTAGTCTAACAAACATTTTCTGGATTACATGGATTTAATGGAGACATGTGGGATAGGTACTGGCCAGTTGCAGTAACTAAGTTATGTTTATATTAAACTGTAGTATAAGGTTAAAGAGAGGACTTATTGACAAGTGGACAAATTTTTCTAATGACTCCAACAGATTTCATTACTTTGTTATGCAGAATATCAATTTGTTCTTTCCAATAACATTTTTCATTATTTTCATCCCCATCCTCTGGATGTTACTTTCAGTTTCTTCGCCCTTTATAAAGAGCTTGGCTTTATCTTTTTTTTCCTTTGTCCTCCCTGCAAATACAATTAAAATTGTTTGAGAAGAATGCAGAAGTCACTGTTCCATCTTCTCTGAAACATCCTGATTTTTACGCAGTTTTATGGTCTGTACCTGTAATAGTATTTGTATATATATTGGTAATTAGAATAATAACTACAGTGTAAATTCTTTGTAAGATCCTGATTTTCGACCCCCTTATTCCATAACTTCACATCTTGTTCCTCAGAACCCTACATATATGTATTGGTTCATACTATACTGGTACAGTAGAGTATAAATGATTACACTGGACCTCTGCATTAATTACATTGTACGTTGCAAGTTGTAATCTAAAGTGTTAGCCCAATATCATAATAGCATTTTATACATAAATATGTATAATATAAAATATGTTATATGACATGTTATATTATTAATATTCCACACTGAACCCAGCATGTGAACAATGTTAACATGATATACTTAAGGAAACTGAAGGACACATAGAGCAAAGTAATGTCATTTATCAACATGGGTAATGGTTCATTTATGAAATCGGTTCTAGGTCAGACCACACAAATTTAATGTAGATGGTGTGTTCACTACTGTTATTGTCTATTCATGTATTCCATGAAGCAGCTGATGGTTATGGTGCAGACTGAAGAACTGCCCAAAACGTGCTCACACCTCCTACTGGTTAGACTAGAAATTTACTCTTGTGGTTGCAACAAAAAGGGAACACCACGGATAGAATTTGATATGCTTATAAAGTGTCAGTATGGGTACACAAAAATAACTTTCATCTTGACTGAGTTCCCAGTTAGTGCTGAACTGTCTGCCCTAAATGCACCTGAGACTCATGGAAACGTGAACTAAACTCTGATCCGAGGCTGTGACAGACAGACACGTGCTAACTTTAAAGTCTTGTTGAGTAGAAATTTACTCCCCACAATATTCTTTGATTCCTTATTAGGTTGCCTTAACGGGCAGTTAGTTTCACCATGACATCAACAACTCTACTGAATGTTGAATTATTGGAGGGAAAGACTCTGGCATTATTCATGATGTAAAACAATATCCAGAATGTAATGAATTTGACAGCCTCAGTAGCCTATATACAAGGCCCCGTGATGCTGCACACTCACATGTTACATCAAGGCTTTGTTTGTAATTAAAGGAGACACTAAGCCTGTCAGCTTGTAAAGCAGGTTTGCACGTTAGTCTGAATGTGCAGCATTGCCTGCGTCACTGAATGGGACATTGTAGGGAAGTGAAGGGACAAGACGAGAGAAACAGAGGATTGAGGTGAGGGAAGAAAGGAAGCTGAACCTGTGACAGTCAGTAAGAAGGAAACCAAAGTGACTGACAGCACAGAGTGGCTGACTTTCAACAGGAATAGTCCAGTTTCTGAACCATTTGGAATTCCTTGCTTTGATCCTTCAAGTCTTTAAGTCCTTAAACCCTTGTAAAGATGAGTTGTATTCCTGCCTCGCACAGGTAAGCTATATGACTAAAACAACTCTAAATACTTAAAGATACATTTTATACAATGTAAGTACTTACCCAAACTTCCATAGGTGTGAGAAATGTGTGTCGTAGCATATTCTCAGACTACCATGGTAGAAATGAGGGCACTGTAGATTCTACAAGATAACAAGATCATGGATTCAAGAGGTTTGTCTTTGTCAGTTATTGTCCCGGTTCCAGCAGTTCACTATGTAGTGGGTCCAGTTTTGTTATAGTTCTATTGTAATCAAACTGTGGGAAGCATGGAGTTAAGGAACCATCTGTCTATTTAAGCCTATATGAATGAGTTCAACAAAGCATTAGTAATTAGAGATGAGCAAACACAAACACTGAAATTGCCCATGTATTCCTTCCCTATATAGATTTTTATTCAGATATTCCATGCTAAGATGTCAGTGTGTTTATACAATATAAACACATACTGTAGAATCATTAATATATACTTATACCTAACTGGAAATCATAAAAATGTAGGTTTTTGTAAGTAACCATCTGGACAATCAGTCTTACTTCAACTAGAGAAGTATTCTCTTCATTTCTTGATAATTATTGTCCCATCTCAAGCTTTTTCTTTTCCACATACTCTCACCCTTCCCCCATCTTTGGAGTTGAGGAGTCACTTGTTGTTCAACCCTGTTATGCCATTAAGTGCTTATACCTACAGATTAAGAGAACAGGTGAAACTCTTACTATGCTGGCTTGCTCCTCATCCCTGAACTTGCTGTCAATGGGCAGTCCATTGGAACATATCTCAGTGAAACATATACACACTCCTCCATCCAATGGTCACTGTGCACGGGACCTAAATTAGAAATTGCTGAGGTGATCCTGTTTGATAACTGCAAAGGTTTTCTAAACTGTGTAGCTAATACCTGGGCTGGGGGTTGGGTGGAGGCAATAGGCTTTTACACCTAGTTGGGACTATAAAGACCTGATGAATGATACAGCGAATGCAGATTTTTTCTGTCTCCCTTTGCATGGGGAATTGCCAATCCAATTCAGAATAACAGATAAAGCTTTGATGTCACAAACTCCCAGTAGCCCTCACATCAGACCACAAAGCTCCATTTGATCAAATTCTGTCCCAGTGACCCCAGTACAAAATTGTTAATGCTTTGCGCAGAGGAAAAACATTGTGACAAACCCGGGGGTTTACAGAAGTCACTTCTGTAGTCACTCTTCATGACAACAGCTGTAAAAACTGTTTGTTAAATCTGCAATGAAATTAAGTGTTTGGAACACATTAGTCCTGTTTTTTTAGCTTTTATATTCTGAATATAATTACATAATTCCTAAATAATCTCTATTTCGGTTTCTATAACTAACTATCTTTAACTGGTCTGGATTTATGTGAAGAATTTTGTTTGTCCTGCGGTATGTAAACCTTTGTTAATCCCTACATGTGGTCTGAACAATAGATTTGCTCCACATTCCTCAGCTCCAGTCCATATGTATTTTGTGGTTATTGAAAAGTGGCTGTTAGTCTCTACTTCTAGTTTGTATTAGATTAGTTATTTTACTGTATAGCTTAAAGAGGACCTATTATGGCCATTTTTAGTGTTAATAATTTAATTCTTGGTGTCGACTAAAATAGATTTACATGCTTTAATGTTCTGAAAAGACATTCTTTTTCTTTTTCTGTAAATTTTATACTGTACTCTATTCACCCTCTGTCTGAAACGCTCTGTTAGAGCTCAGGGCTCTTTAAGCTTGAGGCAACTACCATGGCAAAGACTTGTTCTGCATGTCTTGTGTCAACAAACGGTTGTGGCGGCTTCCTTTCTGCCTTATCGTTTTGAGCAAACGTCCTGAACCAGAAGATGATAGACCCGACCCACCTTCACAAGCTGGACTGGAGCAGAAAACGAGCGTACCCACTGTACAGCAGACAGAGGGAGGGAGAAATATGAAGAGTGTTGCCAATCAAGATGCTGGACAGTCTGCAAAGACTTCGGATGACAATATTCATAACATGGAATACTTTTATGAGAAACCCTTGTGATTTGTTATGTGTGGACACTTCCAGACTAAAGGAATATAAATAATGGAGGAACAGACAGTCAACAGGTAGGGAGTCTCCACCATTTCACCTCCTGCTGGTTTATGATGCCGGTAATTCTGAATTAATTAAACTTTTGTGCGCATAGTTACTGAAAAATGAACTCAGCGCTTAAATTATGGATAATTTATCTAACCTAACGAGGTAAAGCATGTCAATATCTGACAAATGTTTAAGCATTTATATCTTTGCTGCTGCTTCTTACTAACGTGAGTAACATGGTTAACATCACAAATCCACAATGACAATGCAAGTCGCCTGTTTGGCCACATTAAGTGTGAATTAGGGATGTAACCATTGTGAAAATGAAGCATCTAACTGTGCTGCAGGAAGTCGTGTCTGGTATCCCAACGAGGCGTTTCATACAAAGGAGAAAATTGGGTTTTTACCCTGACAGAGTTACTCCGTTTGGTGTAAATTGACTCTGTAGACCATTTACATGCACAAAAACCTGTATAACACACTATAAGTAAGGGAAAACACAGAAAAGCATTATAGGTCCCCTTTAAGTTCATTGCTGCGGGAGAACACTGATGAGGTTGGATAATATAAACGCTTCAGACTGGATTTACCCAAACTGAGCCAAAATGTGTTGTGTTTTTGTTTGCAGTATGAGCACCATTCTCAGTCAAGTAGAATCTCAGATGGAGGAGAGTTCAGTTCAGAGAAGAGGAAGCAGTGCCTATCAGGTACAACTGTCATCTTTACCTACTTTGCAGTGACCTTCCATATTTTGTCTTTTTTAAATTGCATCACTTGGCTTCAAATCTAGATGAGCGATTTGTTTAATTTTTTATTTTTCCACTTATTAGGGCCCAAGCACTGAGGGTGCGACGACCCTATTGAAATTATTCTTGACTGAAATGACTCAACTTTTTGAAGGCCTTCCAATGCTCAAAAAGTCATCAAACTTTGCACATGCGTCAGGCCTAGTGAAAATATATACGTATTTCATTGGTCTTGCACATGGGTGTGGCAAAATAGCTCCATAGCACCCCTTTCAAAGAGGCCTTTCCTATCCCTGCAGTTTCACCTACATGCACAAAAATTGGTAGGCACATGAAACATGCCAAGATATACAAAAGAACCTCTTGCATGCATAGCCTACACCTAACAGGAAGTATGCCATTTTGAATTCAATTTGCAATTTTGGCACCATGTTTGCAATTTAAGGGTCACATACTTTAAAGGTGTAATGTGTAAAATCGTGCTACTTGATCCACTTCCATAGGGGGCAGCATTTCACTTCCTCACCCCTGTCCAGTTACTCATATTGTTGCTTTGCCCACTTTCCGATTTCAAGACATCACACTTTAACAAACTCCTCCAAAGGATATCTGATCGACATTATATTTGGTCAGTCTTATCTTAAGACCTTTGCAATGTTAAATTGCAAAGCGTTTTAACTGATGCTGCAAGACCTGCCTGTGGCGTCATGACGGATTTTGATGATTTGCCATGAAACAGGAAGTTTCTATAACTACAGCATGCATTGTCCAAACAGGCCCAAACTTTATAAGTTTGATAAGAGCCTCACCCTGAACACATCTACATGCCAACGTTCAGTTATACTCATAATGCCCCCTTGTGGTTACAGGAAATATAATGTTTTAGAATTTAATTTACTCCTCGTAGCAGGTCGACCACACCCACACTTCAACCTTGGTCAGAAAATGTGAATGACATTGGTGATACCTCATTGTGAAAACTATTGCGTCAACTTTCTATAAATCAAGCACACATTGTCCAAACTGCCCCAAATTTTATATATTTTATAAGAGTCCTGGCCTGAATACATCTGCATGCTCATATTTAGTAATACTCATTGTGCAACCAAATGGCAATATGAAATTTCACAATTTCATGTAATACTAGCAGGTGTACCAGACCCATGGCAACCTTAGTCAAAAAATACCTCTAAAATTGTGTGTTTGCATATAAGGGCGTGGCAGTAGTGGTTCGCCAAATTTGAGGTTATAGGTGGTGGTTATAACTCTAAGATACTTTGTCCAATCTTCTCCAAATGTGGTCAGAGTATGCTTTACACCTAGATGATGCTTCCCTGTGAAAATTGTGAGTTACAGTCAAACACTGTGAAATCTGGAGCACATTCAATTTTGATATTTCATTGTGTGCTCTGATCTGGCTCTGATCTGACACACAGCCACATGTGTGCTTATTGCCTGTGAGCGCAGTGTCATGCGATTGTTATGATGTGCAACTGCTTCAAATTGTATGCTGCAAGCCCATCCGAGGTGCACAGGTAATATATGGTATGGTAATATAATTTATAGTTATAATATATTACTATAAATCTCCTTCCTGGTCCAGATCTTTCCAGAAGCCAACATGAATCAAGAGTCAGACTCCAGCTCCTATCCTGACGATTTTCTCTACAGGAGGGAGCGTCTACCCTCTATTGTTGTGGAGCCCACAGAGCACACTGAGCTGGAGAGCAGAGAGCTGCACTGGCCTCCACGATGCCTAATGAGCAACAATGTGGAGGAGGAGGAGGAGGAGAACAGCGGTGCTGATCACACAGAGGGATCTGTGGATGGAGAGCAGCAGGAGCACATGGAAGGGTGAACAAAAATGACAGTGCAGTGGTGTTACATACATACTCCTATGTTTCAGAGACATTTTGACCAGTTATCACTTTATTAACTATTATAATTTTTTACTTTTCACTACTTAAGTTGTAGTGAATTTAATAATGTAATTACATATCAGAAGGGGTTTGCAGATTTTTTTTTTTATATATCCTCTGTATACAATGTACCACCTGACTGTGTCTCTCTATTTCCATTATTGCAGCCCAGTTGCCAGGAAGTTTTCTATTGGACCATCCCAGAGTCAATTGTCCCTCTCCCGGCTGACCCCACCTGCTTCCCCAACCCCACCTGAAGCTGCCCCACCCTGTCTGAAAAGCTGAACCAGTACAGCCACTATGGACTGATACCATTGCAGTTCACCTGAACTGTGTGTGTAACCTTTAAATGTGTAACCAGTGCATGAATGCTATCCCAGTAAAGAGAACCGAATTGGGAAGGTTGAGTAACGTGAAGATGAAATAAGGTCCATTTCAAATAACTAATATTAAGCTGATTCCAATCTAGTTTAAAATAATTTGCTTATTTGCTGCTCTTGTATCTGACTCTGTGGTATGAAGGTAATCAGAGAAAGTAGCAATGACCTCCAGGACCTTCTCAGGGTGATTTTTTTCCTATGTGACACCGATCTCCTCCAATAGCAACTAAACATTTGATGAATGACTATCAAAACCAGTTTCCTAAACACCCAGGCCCAACATGTCTGTTATAGCTTTTACTGTAGTAAAGACAGCTCCAACTGTGTCATAGAATAACTCAGAAAGGAGGACATCTCCATCATTTACAAAGGACTGACCAGTATGTTTATGAGGTCTTGATAGACCAAATAATTTAGATTTTTATGTCAAGGAATTTAGACCATGTTAGGACACTCTTCAAAATATCTTATGGGTTAAAGGTCAATTAAGGAAGTCACAATATTGTCAACCAGTGTAATATTGATCACTTGAATAACATACTCTGTGTAAAAGTTACAGTGATTAGGTGATATCCATTTTTAAAGAAAAAATCTGCATATATCAACAATCATATAATAGAAGATAATATCTGTATGAACTTCAGTGTTAAAAGTTATTATAACCACAGTTATTTGTGAGCTGCTTTATCCTCCAGTTTGATCCTGAAATACCTGAATTATTTTAGTTTTTCACAAATATATTCATTTTATTTGCATCGTGTTGTTGTCATCCCTGCTTTGTTGACTGACTTTGGTCATGATTGATGATGAAACATTATGGAATAGCTACAGTCCCAAGTGAGCAAAGCTGAGTCCACAAATCATGGCTCACCTGGTAGGGTGGTTAAGGCTTAGTCCTAACTGCAGTGGCCATGGGTTCAAATCTGATCTGTGGCTCTTTGCAGCATATAATCCTCTCTCTATCTCTCTCTCTCGCTCCCAACATCTTTCCTGTCTCTCTTTCACTGTATCTAGAATTAAGGCATAAAAAGCCCAAAAAATAAAAATAAATTTTTGCTGTGGCTATAGCTGTTATTTGACTGTTTTTAATTTAATTTAATTTTTTAAAAGATGTGTATAGTTAGTATTTCCTTAATGCATATTCAGCGTTGAGATGATATCACAGATATCACAGATATAAAACAGAAAGCAGAGACATTCAGTTGTTTTGAAACTGAACTATGTCATGTGTTGCTCCTTGAAGCTTGCTGTTACAGTTCTAGACAGACAACTATACCCTGAGGGACAGAACAAGTTAACAAGGTTCATCAATAACACCCACAAACACACAGTATAGTGTATGCCCACACACCAAAGACTACCACAATACTATTATGGGAAATCAAGACATAAAGTCACATCCATCTAGTAATTTTAGAGTCTTTACTGCTGCTGAATTGAATCTATTATTATTTAAAGATTTGTTTAAACATCTTCAGATGAGCAACACTGCAATAACACACCAGAAATAGCCTATCTTTCTACTGCTGTGACTCATTCTGTTATAGTGATTGACAACTTCATAATTCAAACAGGTCTCGTTACCAATTTCACCTGAGTGTGAACTAGAGGGGCCTTAGAGCCCATAACAAGAGACGTATTTAGTTAAACCAGTGACCATGTGTTTACTGCACCTAGCCTCTAGAGGGAAACAGAGCAACACATAATACTGCTATGACCTGTACTAAAGCGCAGGGATGCGTTGAGTTCCCACTACACATTAACACATTAGATCTTTCCATTTCCATACTTTCCCAATAAATGCAATAAAATATTTTTTATTTAGTGACGTGGTCTATATGGCAACCCAAGACTTAAAGAATTAAAGAACTGTACTTTATTTATTTATTTCCTCTTTAAGTTTTCATAACTTTATATGTTTGGAGTGCCAGGTTGGACAGTGTGCATCACAAGTTAGGGTGCGTGGGACTATGAGGGAGGTGGAAGAAATGACTGGCAGACAAACCCCCAAAGGAAACAAACAAAAAAACAATGGTCCAGAAAAGACCACACAAAGACTTAGCTCCCTCTTTGAGAGTCTGGGGGGAAGTTCAGGTTGGAATATAGGCTCTTTGCACCTGGTGGTCAGCCTCCTCCCACGGGCCCAAATCTTAACCATGTTCATCTATCAGTCAAAACAAAACAAAACAAAACAAAACAAAACAAAACAAAACAAAACAAAACAAAACCAGTCTCCTGACCCACTGGTGGATTGTGTCGACTGTGCCCATAAATGAGTCTAGACGTCTCATCAACTCATCATGTCACATGTCGACCAAGTGCAGTTGTCGTCATGTTCAAAGCATCCATCTGGAAAACAGAGACTTTTGCAATAAGCTGACACAACATTCAATTTCAGAGCAGGGGAGTGATCCAATAGCAGCTTTAGGGTTATATTACATACATTACATAAACATTGCTTGACATTTTATTCTTTACTTTTCCTAACAGAAGTACATACAATCTCTTCACAGTCAGCAGAAATCACAAACACTCCCTACACACAGGAAGATAGAGAGGCTGTGTGTTACTGAAATGAGAAATCTTCAGAGATAAAGACTTGATTTTTTCCTCACAGACATCTAACACTGTCTGATATCTGACAATATGAAGTAATAATACTGTGGATACCGTGGCTGACTTCCAGCCTGAAATGTGCCCATATTTAATAAATGCTGGGCAGCTGTTATGTGTGATATACACTAACTTCTCTCACTCTGTGTCACACTCATCAGAGATTTAAGTTTTGGGGGGAGGGGTCCCTGGCGAGAAACTGTCAGAGTTGGTTAATATTGCGCAGGGATTGGACAAACTATGCTAACACTGAGCCCCACTTTGTGTGTCTTTTTTTTTCTATCTAACTAACTATCACTCATTGTCTACTCTCATGGTTCTTTCATCCCCTCAGGCTGTTCATATATCAATCCTAGACTAAACATCAGACTCAACTGCTGTGGGTTACACAAATCGACAACTAGATCTTTTTTTCGAACTCTAGTACTCTTATATGTACTCAGTCAGCGGGAATAACAAAACAAAATCCAAAAATGAGAGGGAACAGCAACTGAGCTGCAGAAGAAGGTGGAGTAACCAGCACTAGCTGAGCCATCTCCATGCTCTACAAACTCAGTTACATGTCTTTTTCAAAGGAAGAACATAGTGATGGTGAGGTACTGTGTTTTGTACACTTTGGGCTGACACAACGCAAAATTTTCCAGAGCATCTTTACATTTGTGACTTGATTTCTTCGGCTAAAATTCGGCATGAAAATTACATAGGGTGAAAAAGATTTTGTTTAGTAGTTGTGGCTCCTCCTCCTAAAATCCTCCTCAGCAGACATACTGAGATATGCACTCATCGTTTCAAGTTGCTATTTTATTTTTGAATGCATAATTCTGAATAAATCAGTTATTTTAGATCAAAATCATTGGAAACCACAGTGTTAGAGGAAGATAATGATTTTCCTATTGGTGACATGACTCATAGAAGTGTCTCCTGAAATAGCGCCCCTACTGTGGCAGGCACAGCCTGTTAGACTGGTGCGTAACATCTAATGTTGGTCTGTAGCGAAAAGTATCATTAGTGCAAATGACAAACTGTACTGACAAACACTTCAAGTGGCATAAATGTATGATTGATGATGTCGACAGACATTTTTGCGATTTAGTAGAAATCATCCTGTTCCTGCGGCTGTTGTCCAGATAGATGCGTCAGTAACATTTTTTTATAAGTAAAACAAAAAGACTGATTCAGAACCAGCGGGTTCAGTATCCACTGCCTAATACTGTATTTATTTAAGCATATTCATATCTATCCTTAGTATTTATTATACACACACAACAGACCTAATATGTTTGAATATAAAGAACTTGTATGATCTAAAGTAATTGTCCTATCACATGTTTGTCTGTATCAGGACCAGAATTCCAGTCCAGTCAGCCCCAGTGATGGACCAGCACCTTCCTTTTCTTCTGCGTCTGGCCTCATCAATCATCAACAACCACATTACAGTAACACCTTGGAGAATTACCCCTGCACAGAACAGATCTTGTCTATACTGTGATCTTTTGCGCATCCTGCTCCTCAGGAGTTTTGTCAACACTTTTGTAAATAGTTTTTTTCATAGTTTTATTTTTTTAATTTGTGTATCTATGTATATATATCTTTTTGACTGTTGCAGTATTTTACCTTTTTTATTGTTATTTCCTGTTAATATGTTTATTATATACTGCACCAAACACTAAGCCAAATATCTTGTAAGTAAAAACCTACCTGGCAATAAACCTTATTTTCTGATTCTGCCTTTGTGATGATGTCATCATCCCTTCCTCATGCTGCTACAGCCTGACACCCATGTGTGATCCCATGTGGCATGCAGTATTAGCCTTCATATTTTTATAGGTAAATAAAAACATACTGTCTGTATTACAGGTACTTATAATTTGTTTCAATGCTATCAACAATTTTAACTATCAACAATGAATGCACATATAAATGATAAATTATAAGGAAAATGGGTAAAACAACAATATGATTAACTGGACAGGGGCGAAGAGGTGAAATGCTGCCTCCTATGGAGGTGGATCAAGTAGCACAATCTTACACATTACACCTTTAAGGTTAGAGGACCTTCATAGTCATGGTTACAATAATAAAGAGGTGGTTAAGGTTGTGCAACCATCATGGTGAAAGAAAACAGTGGTCTTTGTGTTCTGGTGACCTATCCATCCACCCTGACATCATCCCAATGTGGACTCTGTTGCTCTTTATACTACATCACCTGACTTCCTCCTTTGCTAATAATTACTGCAGCTGCTGGGGTTATCTAACAATAAAACATAATTATGGGTCTTAACAAGCTGCACAGGCACAGAAATGTAGCCAGCATGTAGTATGATTTTAAGCCATATCACACGAGAGGGAGTGATGTTGTACTGAATATTAGCACGGCTGTGATTCAAGTGGACTGGTACTGGACTGTTGTTAAGCAAAACATAAACATATTCCTGACCTGACGATGTCATATGAGATAAGTATCCTGTATCTTTCCTTCCCTTCATCCTCTTCTGACGACCATACATCATTTAATGAAATGCAAAATGTTATTTCTGGAAATATATTCATCTTTGCAAAGTTTGTCCTATCTAAGATAGATAATGACGATTAATGTAACACTAATTAACGGTTATAGCACACCTGTAAACAGAGTGATACAAAGAAAATACAAATGATGGAGAAGTAAATGAGCTGCACTTTAATTTGTTTTGTCTACAGAGACAGCAGATTACAAAAAGTTGGTTCCAGAGATCTAATAAAAATCTAAAAAGGATGGAGGAGAAAAAAATAGGTCAATCACACTGTATCGCCAAAAGTGCCAAAGATAAAAGCCCCTCTGTCTCCACTCTCACCATCACACTCTCTGTCTGGCTAATCAAAGCCAGATGTATGCTCACGAGGCCTCCATTCAACCTCCTCCTCTTTTTCCCCCTCGATCTCTCCATCTCTCACCGTCTCTCTGTTTCTCTTTCTCAGTGTGGGTTTCCTGCTCAGGCTCAGTGCCTCTCTGCCCCCCCCCCCCCCCCCAACACACACACACACACACACACACACACACACACACACTAGCACACAAAGCAGGAAATACTCCAGGTTCCTGCCCCTGAAGGGAACATGTTTCTTCTAACCACTAACAGATGGGGGGATGAAGGATGGAAGGGAAGGATATGAGAGTGAAACCATGGCAGCTGGGAAAATGTTGGTAATAATAATGTAGATGAGATGATGAAGAGCTTCAAATGTTGCAGAAGTGAGAAGTTTTGTTGTTTTACTTCAGTGGCTTATATGAGCCGTTTCTCCTTTTATTTTCTGTCTTCTTTTTCTCTCCCTTCTCTCCATTCCTCCTTTCCACATTAATGAACTGAGGCAGCTGGAACTGAATCCTAATGTCATAAAACA